TTTTTTTCGATTTTCTCTCTACGATGTGTTTCTGACACTATTATACATTTCGAAAAAGCTACAGATCCTCAAATAGACTCTATTTTGCTTTTACTTCAACAAACACGTATATTGTTTGTTAGTACAACATACTCAGCATAGTGAATCCGACATTTTGATCTCGCCCCATCTCATCATAAAGACTATCGGGTTTAGGTGTGGAGAAGGAATGAATTCGTTGTTCTTAGAATTCTTGGCATGAAATCTGCCTAAAATAGAGATTTTCATTAGAGATGCTCTAGCAGTAGAGCAAATGTCTCGAGGAAAGCATTCATGAAAGAATTTTTTTCTAACACAAACGAGGGACATCTAAAATTTCAATTTTGATGTTCTTTGTCATTTTTTATGAAATCATACATTCATTCTGTTGTGGTCCAAGTATTTACGAATTTGACTCAATATATACAAATATGTAAATCGGAAGTATGTCATAGAAAAATCATTTATTATTATGTTTAATTAAAAGATTTTGAGAAAAACGGTTTTTATCAATTTATAGAAGATTGATCACTCCACCCATATTTATTGAAGCAATTTTATGAAATATTGAAAAGTGAGAAAGAAACAGATTTTGCACACAATGCATCATAGAATTTTATTACGTATACATTTCTCGTTATTTTAGAAATTAAATTATGAAAAGAGTAGATATGAACGATCATCTCTTTCCAAATGGAATACGGATGCCGACTCTAACACCCCAATTCGGTCTTGAAACATAATTGTTACCCTAGAAAAAATGTTACGTAGAAAATTTAATAAACAAATTAAAAAAAAGTAACATATACCCGATGAACCAAAGCGACCTCCAACAGCTTCATCGATGCCAAACGAAGGTTTTTTATCATCGCCATTATAAATTGGAATGCCAACGCCAGCTTGGCCATTAAAATTGTAATTGTTGAGGTTATTGCTGCTGCCTTGACCATTCAATTCACACACAGACTTGAAAATAGAACAGACGTTGGTTCTATTATATAAAATTTCTATGTTCTTCCTACCTTGCCTTGCTGAGCCGCTTGCAAACCCAAATTTGCCGCACTCAGACCTGGTTGTCGCTTGTATCGAGGAGCAGCGACCACATAGGATACAGTTAACGCTAGCAGAAAGATTAGACTGTTCGAAAACATTTGTGACTGATAGTAAATACGAATTCAATCTTCTTTATGTACCACTCAAAGTAATGCCGACAAAATGCCACTAAATCATCATAACAAGTAATAGCAAAACATTAATACTAGTTTACTTCCTCAGAAAACGTACGTCAATTTTTCCCTAGTACCAATGAGTATAGATATTCTTCTTGCTTCAAACGGAAGTAAAAATATTCCGTATAAATCATGACGAAAATTTATTCCACATTTTCAAGAGAAAAGTATGCAAACTAATAATGCAAAACATTTTTGAATATTTGATGTTATAAATGGAAATATAAACAATCAAAACTAGTATTAGATCCAATTATTCATGTTTTTACTCAGCATTTATTGCTTATTCAGATGAGAGTAACATACCAAAATTTGAACAAGTAACTCAAAAATGAATCATATCAATATACAATGTCAGATCATCTGACATTGGGTGTGGGATTGGGTATGGGTTTGAGTATGGGTGTGGATGGATGTAGGTGTGGTTGAGGGTGTAATGAAAAGATATCCACACACACACACAAATCTACGCACTCATAGTTACGCACGTCCACATATCCACGCACTCATAACTATCAACACCCACATCCACACCTGAAAACCATTTGTTTTTAAACATTTTCAAATTCATCACCGATAATTAACTCTCCATTTATATTGGAAATCGAATGAGACAACTCATGATTTGTTTTCTTCCTGTAATTTTCGTAGGGTATTATCGAAAGCTATCTTATTATTTAATTAAACGATTATTGCTTTATTCTTTCATAACTATGTTTAATCCTCATTGTTTTTTCTTCAGTATTGATGAACCAGAAAAGTGTCCTGCCTATAATCATTCTTGAAACATTTGAAAGTCAGTATTAACTGTTTCTGACATAGATCAGAGTAATCGAAGAAAGAAATTTTTGTTTAAGCTGAAATATTTCACAAGTCAGTCATAGTCTTTTATCGTTTTAGAAATAGATATGCAAATATTTTGACGAATCGTGGTACAACGAGTTTTAAAATTGTCATTAGACCACCGACTAAACCGAACATTGTAGTGATCATATAAATTACATCATGTTTTTTTATATAACTATAGGTGCATTTTATTGGTTGACAAGCAGAATAATAACTCTCAAAGGTCGTAGATAAATTCCATTGTTCAACCATTAATTTATCAACAAGTTCTTGTATAGTTGAGTTTTCAAAAAAACGACTTGGTAAAGATGAGTCAAGTGTCTTTACAGCCAGGGATGTATTAGATAAAAAATATGAGCTTAACTGTTCGATACATGTTTGATTATAAAAGCATTCGAGAGTTGATTGTAACAATGATTCCATTACAAAACACCCCGAATAAATGCCCGGTATTGAAAATAATTTAGTTGTGGTATCAACTGTGTCATAGATAGCTGACTGCTCAATACATGATAATGAAACATCACATCGACAGTTTGAGTATACTTGTGGAACTGGTGCCACAAGTTGCATTCCAGGTAGTCTTGGAGAAAATGACATGCGTAAATCATAATTTGTCCAACGTGCAGAGAATAAAGCATTGGCTTGAGTTGTGTTTTGTATCATTTGTAATGATAATAGTAACTCATTTGTTATCAAAGAGATAAATTGTTCAAATATTGATTGCATTTGTAAATACAATAAGTCTGACGAGACAACTGCAGCACTTATATATTGAGTTGAATAGAATCGAGTTAAGCTGTCAGAAATAGTCTTATTTGTTAATTCACAAAATGTACTCAAAGCTTGGAAAAAGAATTTGCATGATGCCCGAAAATCACGAAAATAAAATGCATTATTTAGAGAAGACAATGAAAGAATTTGTCTCCAATTGTCGCTGACGTAAATACTAATGCATATTTGATGAAATGTATGCTTCACATGAAGAAACGCTTTATAATCGATAGATATTGTTGTACATGGACATGTTAACGTTTCGGAATAAGTGGAATATAATTCCGAGTATTTTTTGATAGTTGGTACATTAATATTGATAGTATGTGTGACCTTAACTGAAGAAATATATATGACAATAGTAATTGTTGAAAGAAGTAAGCATAAAATAAATGATCTTGTTGATATTCGTTGAACGCGAAGATCAAAAGGATTAGTTGAAGGTGGTATGGATGGAAATAAATTGAAGTTTTGATAAGAATTTGTTGCCTTTTGCCATAATCCAATAGTGAGTTGATTAGTATTATTGCCTTTAGTAAATAAATGCAAAAATTACTTAAAGATAAATTGTAAATGTAGTAGTAGTCTCATATATAGTGTATACTTATTTGGTGTTCTAGAAATTTGTCTTCAATTTCGGTCTTATTTTTTCATATCCAAGACCATTCAATGATTCATATGATACCAAGTCTTTCTCTTTGTTCTCTAATCTGTTTATCTGTCTAGAATTATTTGAAAAACTCTAAGAAATGTGCAATAATTCCATAGTAATTTGTCAAATTACTAAGGAATTATCGATGGTTTTTTATAATATTTTCACGTAGTTCTTCATTTTCAAACGAAGGAACGAAATACCACAAATTTCGAGTGTATTGCTTATGATTATCTAAGAAATAAATCAATGAGCACAGTACTACATTCACTATTGCATTTTGTATGTATTCATAAATACAAAACAACAAAATTGAAACTTACCAAATCTTCTTTTCTAGAATATCGTATCAACGAAATGAAATGCACCTATTGGCCATTTCTCGGAATCGCTTGTACGACAACGTGTCATTCTTTGAAATTTGATCCTTGTGCTTATGCTACTATGACTAAAGATATAGCGTTGTGATAATCAGCTATTCAGAAGCTCATTTAAGGATGCTTCGCTTTCCAGCACTTTTCGAGAACGACTCATCAGAAATGTTTGAAACTTTCAGGATAAGTTGATCTCGATGAGTAGAACGAAATTACCAGATGCTTTTTTCTGGAAGATATGGAGATCGCAAAGCAAAAAGAAGCCATCCTAATCTGTTCTGTTTCTCTAAGATGGTATATTCTTTAGAGCTGAAGTGTTTTTGCAGATACAAAGCACACTTGGGAGTACTAATTTTTTTTTTGTGTTTCATTTTATCTTTTTCTTTTTGATTAAAAAACAAGTCAAAAAACTGAGAGCACCCTAAAATACATATGTTTTTCTAAACCATGTGGTTTTTATAGGACCTGACAAAAAACAACAGTACAATACTTTTTCAAAGTAAAACGAAATGGACACTCAAAACACTATCCAATACTTGAAGAAAAAGTTTTAGCTCGATCAGATGTATTGTGTCTGAGAAACGGGACGATTCCGCAAGTTTTTGATTAAAAATCAGATTTCTAAAAAATCTGGACAGAAGAAAAAAATTCGCTTTTTTCCTATAGAAAATGTCACAAACTTGCGATTTTTGTAACTTCAACATTGAAAAAACTAAAATTTTTCTAGCAGGAAGTGGGACTTCTCTTGAACAATAAGCTTATTTAGATACAAATATAAATCGAGCGAATGTCAATTCTGAAATTTTACTCGAAGAAGTTATATATATTTGCTGGATTTCATTTAGAATCATGTTAAGTCCTAAATATATTTTCAATGATAGAACCTTATTGGTTCCTTTTGAAGTAATAAATAGACCATGAGCAAAAAAGAATTCCAGTCTATCTCGGCTTATCAAACTGAGTTTTTTTTTTACGGAAAAACATTTTTACAATTAACACTCAAGCTTGAAAACTTTCACATAAATAAACTTAGTTAGATAAGAATTTAACGGGAATGACAGTGGTAAGGAACATTCAAATAAACTACAAATAGTGTTTATCTGCTTACGAAAGATCTTAATTTTAGTAAATAAATCACAAAATTTTATACAAATAAGTCATATGCTGTTCGCTTACCTGGTTGTATCTTTGTTAATCTTATCCTGTTTCTTACAAGTTTAACTAGTAGTGGCACAATAAACTTCAGTATTGTTACCAAACCACCAGCCAAACCAAACAATGTAGTCACAATATAAATAATATCGTTCCTAGCTCCATAAGTATAAGTACACTGCATTGGCTGACATGCATTGTAATAGCTCTCAAACGCTGTAGACAAATTCCATTGTTCAATCATTAATCCGTCCACAAGTTCTTGGATAGTTGAATTGTCAAAAAAGCGATATGACATAGATGCATTAAGTGCTTTTACAATTAGTGAGGAATTATATGTTAAATACGTTCGCAATTCATTGATACATGTTTGATTGTAAAAGCATTGAAGAGATGACTGTAATAATGCTTCTGTTACAAAACATCCTACATATAGACCTGGTACTGAAAACAATCTAGTTTGATCAGAATATCTATAAATCGATGATTGTCGGATGCATTTTGCTGAATTATCACAACTACAACCGGAATAACTGCGAACATTTAATGATAGATTTCGCGAGTTATTGTATTTCTGTAATCCGTACTGTATACCTGCTACACTCCATAAACTGTTAGCTTGAGTTGTATCTCGTATAACTTGTAATGATAATAATAGATCTTGTGTTGTTGAAGAAATAAATTGTTTAAAAAAGTATTGGGTTTTTGATTGAAATAGTTGTGTTGATGTAATCGTGGCACTAACATACTGTGTTGAATAAAATCGAATCAAATTTTCAGAAATAGTTTTATTTATTAATTCACAAAATCCGCTCAGTGCTCGAAATGTGTTTGGACCAGTCCATCGAAAATCATCCACAGTAAGAATATCGTTTGAAGAACGACCATCAATATAATTTATCCAAGCATTGGTGACAAAAATGCTACTGCATACTTCATGAAATGTATATTTGATATGAAGAAAGTTTTCATAAGTAATAGATATTGTAGTACATGGGCATGTCAAAGTTTTTGAATGTTGAGAATATAATTTCGAATATTTTTTGAAAGTAGGACTTTTAACATTGGCAATCTTTGTGACCTGTACTAGTGAAATATATCCAAGAAGAACGGATGTTAACAGAATGAAAAGAACAATGAATAATCTTGTTGATATTCGTTCGTTCAATAGGTCAAACTCATTGGTAGAAGGTGGTACAGATTGAAACATGTTAAATTGTAGTAGTGTCTTTTTTAACTTGGTAAACAATGAAGAATTTTGTTGTCGAACATCGATGTCTTAAAAGAAAAGAGATGCATAATTTTTCATTGGTCTTTTTAAGCAAAGATGAATAAGAGAATTTTAGAAATTTGAAGGCTTAATTCACGATGAAAATTTTTCACAACATAGTAAGCGACGACAATGATAGATTGCTGAGTATTAGATTTCAAATCTGTTTTTCTTTTTCAGATAAAATTGTGAATACTTGAATGTGTAGTAATAAATACGGATGTTACATATGTTGTCGACAAACAAATCTTTTTAGTTTCGACTATTGTCAGACAGTAGATACTGAAGATACAGCCTATCTTTCATTGATTCATAGCACAATGATACTGACTTTCAAGAAGATTCAGGCTAGATATGACTGAAGAAGAATGATAAATGATGCTACATAAGTTCGACTAACTATTAAAGTTCATACGATATAGTACAGGATGTTTATAAACAATATTATTGAGAGTTACAATTAACTTTTTGAAGAACTCAGGCTGATAGTTGATGCATCTTTCGAAAAGTTCTTGATAGGCTACGATTTTAGTATGATATTCTCTATTTTCGAGATAAATATAAAATTAATTTATCCAGCATGAATTTAATCAAATAAAAGAAAACGGGAAATGCATTTCAGCATTAAGGCTTATGCGTATGTATATACACATATATAGATATTACTGAAATCTTGCGATTATTCTACAATCACCTAAGCTTACCCGTAGTTGCAATACATAATCTTTTATTTCTAGATACAATTTTAATTAGTAATCGTATAACAAGTTTTAAAATTGTCACCATACCACCAATTAAACCAAAGACTGTAGTCAGAATATAAATTATATTATGTTTTGCTGTATAACTGTAAGTACATTTTATTGGTTGACAAGCAGAATAATAACTCTCAAACTTTATGGATAAATTCCATTGTTCAACCATTAATTCATCGACAAGTTTTTGTATAGTTGAATTTTCAAAAAAGCGACTTGGTAAAGATGAGTCAAGTGCATTTACAGTCAGAGATGTATTAGATACCAAATATGAGCGTAACTCATCGATACATGTTTGATTATAAAAGCATTCGAGAGTTGATTGTAACAATGATTCCATTACAAAACATCCCGTATAAAAGCCTGCTATTGAAAATAATGTAGTTAAATCAGGATAGCTGTAAATACCTAATTGCATACTGCATTTATCAGAATAGCCACAATCACAAGTGTCATATGACAAAGGTGCTAGATATCCAAATCTAGAGCTTCCTACAAAGTATATCAACATATTCGTTTGTTTTGCCGAGAGTAAAACATTGGATTGAATTATATCTTTTACAGTTTTCAATGACAACAAGAAATGACTTATTCTTAACGTTGTAAACTCTTCAAATATTGATTGTATTTCTGATTCAAATAAGTAAGAAGACGTTACCATGCTGCTGATATATCGATTTGAATAGAATTGACTCAAACCGTCAGAAATCGTTCTGTTTGCTAAGGCACAAAATGTACTCAGAGCTTGAAATATGTTTGTACCTGTCCATCGAAAATCAGGAGGATCATATGGTTTATCGTCAAATGATAAGGATAAGTAATTTATCCAATCGTTGGTAACATAAATACTAGTACATACGTGATGAAGTGTATGTTCGACATGAAGAAACGCTTTATAATCGATGGATATCGTTGTACATGGACATATTAAAGTTTCCGAATGTGTTGAACGTAACCGTAAATATTCTTTGAAAGAAGGCTTATTAACATTTACAGTATTTGTGATTTTAACCAAGGAAATGTATACAATGATGGTAGTTGTTGAAAAAAGTAAGCATAAAATAAATAATCGTGTTGATATTCGTTGAACGCGAAGATCAAAAGGATTAGTTGAAGGTGACATGGATGGAAATAAATTGAAATTTCGATAAAAGTTTGTCGTTTTCCGCAATAATTGACGAACAAATCCCAACATATTTAAAACTTGAATAATAAGGAGAAAATGTAAATAAGAAGATCGAAACTAATTGTGTTTGATCTGGAAATGCTACACGAAAGCTTTCTGTAGATGGCATGATATAGAGTTGCAAAATACTTATTTCATGACTTCGATTGCAGTTACTAAGGGGATGACTTGAATTTTCAAAGACGATTATTCGTATAATCGATAGTGAGAGATGTCTATTCACAAAGAATTGAGGGCATGATAAATTTCGCTTTCCAGGAAATTCAAATTTGACTGCACCTCAAGTAAAGGATGATTTCAAGAAGGGTACGGTATGGGTTGGGTTGGGTCGAGTTGAGAATATAAGGGATGTGATGGGTTGGGTTGAGATGGAATGGGTTGGGTTGCATGGGCTGGGATGGGTTGGATTGGATCGGGTTGGGTTGGGATGGGTCGGGTTGGGTTTGGATGGGTTGGGTGTGGGTGTGAATGTGCGTGTGAGTGTGGATATTGTTTTCTTTTCAGTCACACCCACACCCACACCCTTTTTTCACCATAATAATAACTGATCAAGTTCTAGAAGATGAAGGTATATTCGCGCAATTTAGAGATAGTTTTGTGTTTTTTTGGGAGAAATCCCATGGAATAGGTCATTTGTGATATTCGAGGTTAACATCAAGAACTATACCGAATCAAAGGTATGTTAAAAAAGTCTTTTCCCTATAATCAATTGTTTTTGGTTATTCATGGATATATTTTATTAAAAACGTCACACGTGCTCCTGAAGGGGTCAATATTTCATGAGAAAAAATTTTCTTTAACATCTATTTTATTCGATATAGTTTTTGATGTTAACTTCGAATGTCACATTTATTTTGCCTCACAATCATGTCAAAATTACCATGTTGGGAAAAGATGTATCATCTATATCACATTGCTAATGATCTTTTATTCCAATACTCTTTTATCACTTTGGATATAGATTCAAAATTAACATGGTGTATCAAAACTTCATTCTGATCCCAACTGTTTCGAAAAAAAAATGATGAGTGTATATTTTTTCTCAAAAATCTATCTTTATAATATTATAAATAATGATATACTTCATTCATGGTGGACTATGAAACGTCAGTTAATATATAATATGCAATTATTCAAATAGCTCAGTCTTTTATTTGTTTAAGTGTTGTCGTTTAGGAAATTAGAAGAAGTAGATCTCTGAGCTGATGAAGCATTTTTCTTATAAACAATTATGCAGCAAGTTTCCATTATTGTTCTTTTAAAAGCGGGTTGTTAGTGCTCGAAAGTTGGTATTGCCTAATTTTACTATAGTAAATTGAAATGAGTTAAATCTTCCGGTTTGACGGTTTCACAGTATGGCTTTTGAAACCCATGTAGAAAATGAAAAATCTGAATTTTGATCAGTCGCTCGGTTCTTTTGTTTTATGTTCGACACTCTCTCGAGATCTATGAGACGACACTTATCATAAAATTTAAAAACTTGCTAAATGTCATATTTATGATCAAGACATTAAAAAGACTTACTGAATGTATTTTCCAGTTCTCAGATATGTTTTGACTTGCTTCCTTTGAAACATCTATCAAATGAAGAATAAAAACATTGTTGCGCAGTTTCAATGTATTTTATTATTATAACCATGACTTGTATGAGAGCAGCTGGTCAGCGTACTTATGTTTTCCTTACTGTAACAATTCTATCAAATAGTATTAGCTGAGGAGGCGACATTTTGTCTAGCAGAATTTCAACCAATCATAAATAAACTTGAAAAGATGTAGAAAAAAACTTAGGCAACAAAAGAAAGAAATTTCATAGATTAGAAATAAAAAAAATAAAAGAAAAAAAACAAGAGAATAATTGTAAAAGCTCCTGCTTTCATTCTTAGAGGGCTGCGCGAATACAAGTACAAATTGTACTCTGGAAAGAATATGACCTCTTCCCCCCCCCCTCCCCACAAACTTAGAATTTGAAGATTTGTAACGTCAGGTACTCTCATACACTCTCATGTATTCTAACGTACTGCAATACATTCTGCAGTGCTTGGGAAAAGCTTTAATTTTCAGAACACGTACTGTCATGTACTCTCATGTACTGTCATGTACGGACACCCACACCCACTCACCCCGTGTTAGAAATGTCCTATACACTGTACGTATCAAGTAGGTTATACGATGTAGCGTTTTTAGCACATGAATGCTCTCGCTCATTCTCAAAAGAGATACTTTTTTTCCTAAATCTTTCTATTATATTTTCTGTGCAGCAATTTCATCCTTTCATATAGCTATTTAATCATTCTATAGCTATTTAAATATTGAACAAGTGTTTTACGTTAGTCAATAGCTACTTAATTTTTCCATGACTATTTAAACGTTTCTTCAGCTAATTATTCTTTTGATATAACTATTTAATTCTTGAACAGCTATTTTATCTTAAAATCAATCTCTTACCTTCATCTATAGCTATTTAATTTTTCCATGGGTATTTAAACTTTTCTTCAGCTATTTATTCTTTTGATATAGCTATTTAATTCTTGCACAGCTATTTAATCTTAGAATCAATCTCTTGCCTTCATCTGTAGCTATTTAATTTTTCCATGGCTATTTAAAATTTTCTTCAGCTATTTATTCTTTTGATATAACTATTTAATTCTTCAATAGCTATTTAATTATCGAGCAGCTGTTTTATATTACTATGCAGCTATTTAATGTTTCTATGACTATTTAAAATTTTCTTCAGCTATTTAATCTTTTAGTGGTGCTATTTATTGATTGTATAGCTATTTAATCTGTAAATAGCCGCTGTATGTTTGTATACACGTACTGAATTTTTTTTTCTTTATCTAAAATGATATTCTAATCGTTAATGTTTGAGTATGTGTGTGGTATCAACGCCTGTTTGTTTAAGTTTGCATTAGGTATTTGAGGTTTTTGTCCTCATGTTTAATTTTGAAATGATAGTGTTGAAGTTTTGGATTCAGTATGTTTGCATCTGTTTTCTTCATTGTTGGTTTGACAGATTTAACGCTAAGAATACGTGACTAATATGTTCGTATATTTCTTTTTGTTGTATTGATCTAAATTTTCAATAGCATGCTGTTTATAATGTTCCTAAATGATCCAGTAGCTTGTATTTCTTTATAAAGTCAGGGAGCAGGGTTTGTTAAAAAAAAATGAAAAAATATATGCTTTTACTGTCGTTTTTTAAATATATGGGCGTGTCCAGTTGACATGATACCCCAACATTGATGTCGGTATTTAGCTTCAAGTAGTCATCAGAAAAAGATGATGTTCCTATCAGTTTTAGCTCATATATAACGCTAATTATTTGTTTCTAATAGAGATATATGTTACTAGGTACGAGACTTATTAAGTATGTCCTGATAATCATTATGTAAAATGTACTTCACATCTAATTTGTCTACATCTTCCTCTTGGTATATATTTCGTGCACGGTAGCATTTCATCCGTTCTATCGTATACTTGTGCGTCAGTCACATTATTCCCGTTCTAATTGTGACTTTTTTCTCGGCTTCGTTCATTCTCTCTTTTCTTTAGCACACTTTCATTTGTTAACAAACGCTTACTATCTTTATATTATGTCTTCTCCATAAATTGAATGGAGTTGTTCTCAATGTCAATCTGTCATGGCTGATCGTAAAAAATATTGTACCAATTGTCACTCTATGTTAAGGCCCCCCCACCACTCAAAAATCGATCTCAGCCCAGGAAAGTTTAAATGGGCTGAAACTTGGAGCATATGTTGGGGCTGAAGTGAGGAGGCTGTGATAAAATTTTCAGCTCGATACCCTAATGTTTGATAGAGATATGAAGCAAACAAGGGCCAAAAATAGCTCATTTGGCAATCCATTTTTCTTTGTCCAGGCTCTTTCAATGTATTTAATTTTTTTTTTGTTTGAAAGAGCATCTCAGGACGCAGTGCAGTACAGAGTCCTTTTTTTTAAATTCTTACTTTTTTAGCGAAAAAAGGGAATCACAAGTTCAATGACTCAAAAAACGCGCCAAAAATGGGTGTCTAATTACATATATGACTGTATATATAATAAAAAATAAAGCTTAATTAAAAAAAGGACTCTGTACTGCACTGCATCTTGACGTGCTCTTTCAAACAAAAAAAAATTAAAATATATTGAATGAGCCTGGACAGAGAAAAATGGATTGCGCGGTTCAGAAAGCCTAAACTGAGAAAAAACGAAAAACATTTTTCGTTTTTTTTAAAATAAGCATATTTTTCAAGAAGAGCTTAACAAAAATCATCGAAAACTTTGACCAAAAACGAGGTGCCGAAGAAAAACCAATATGATTTCTGAAAGAGCAGAAGACGGGCTATCTTCCGATGCATTTATCTCAATTTCGATAATTTTGACGAAAATTGATTTTTTTTGAGTGGGGGGGGGGGCCTTAACTTGGACATGTACTGGTTCAGAAAAATCTGGTTTATACACTAATTATTATCGTCATCTTGACAACTGTAGTTATTGTACACCAGAACTTGAAGAAGAAAAACAACAGAAAATGGAAGAGAAGCAACAACAGTTTGAAGCTTTGAATTACTCTTCTTAATTTACACATGCACCTCTCATTCTATGTATATTGTATAACAACGTCCTTGGTCGGTATGGAGTCGTACTAATGAATCTTGTGTACAACATACGGGAAATGACATCGAACAAATACAAGAACTGTATTCTATGTGTGAACAACTACTTACAAATTATTGTTCTCATAAGAACTATCGATATATAAACAGTACCACCACATCATATTTATCTCCTGTGAATTTGCTTGTTGTTACATTATGGCACTTGAAGCATTATCATTCTGTACGTTGTATTTCTACAGAATTAAATTTGGGCCCATCAACAGTACATTATTTATTATCAGAAGTTGTGGATATTTTACATTCTTGTATATATCCAGAATTAATTTCATTACCTGCTGATATATCCAATAGAACCACACCACATGGACCCGAAGAACATCATAAATTAATAGTTGATTCAACTTTCATCGCAATACCTCAACCTGATGATTTAGATCAACGTAAAGCATATTATGATTCAAAAAGTTCAACAAATTATGCATTTAAAGTACAAATTGCCTGCGATTTTTCTTATAAAATAGTACATGTATCTGAATGTTATCAAGGCAGCGTACATGATATTACAATTCTAAGAGAATCAGGACTATTGGAACATGTAAAAGAATCTGTACAAATCATTGGTGACAAAGGATATATCGGTGAAGAATATGTAGTCACTCCAACAAAGAAACCTCACGGACGTGAATTAACAGATGAAGAAAAAAATTTCAATCGTGATATCGATAGTGCAAGAGCGGCTATTGAGAATATTATTCAACGTCTCAAAATCTATGCTATTTTGGATAGTGTTTACAGAGGAACTATTGATGATTTTGATAAAATAACTAAAATCGTACAAGTTGTTTCTGCTTTATGTAATATGAACTTGAATAAACATCCAATTCGTAAATAAACAACATAATAAAGTATATTTTACGTAATGATTATCAGGACATACTTAATAAGTCTCGTACCTAATAACATATATCTCTATTAGAAACAAATAATTAGCGTTATATATGAGCTAAAACTGATAGGAACATCATCTTTTTCTGATGACTACTTGAAGCTAAATACCGACATCAATGTTGGGGTATCATGTCAACTGGACACGTCCTATATATTTTGATTTGCGAAATCAAGTTTCTAAACGAATGAAATAGCAAATATACATTGTTATCATGTTATTTTGCAACGTTTTCTATAAACATAATCATCATCATCATCTAAAATAAATCAAACAACTGCTCTATCTGTTGGTACATGTTTAAGTACCAAATAAGCATCAAATAATCTTCCAGAAATTCATGTACTACGTTTAATGTCACAAATTAAAATGAAACTTGGTTTACAAGAAGAACTACGTGAATGACAAAAAGTTTTGTATCAAGCAGCAGCAGCAGCAGCAATATCATATTATATTATTGATTCTGTTGCGTCAACAGATGTCGCATCATGACGCTAAATTATGTCCAAGTATATTATATATGTTTTTTTTCCTTTTCTGTCATACGTGTAGATGTTATATTGACCATCGTGAGATCATGATGATCTGCTTTATATTGCGTCATTCTAATTTTTTCTATTACGTTTTTTGTGCTTCTTTTCATATCCTATATATGATCTTATTTTTCTCTTTGTGATTATTATTGTTGATTTCTTTTCGATTATTATTATTATTGTTATTGATTTTCTTTGACTATCATCGTTTTCCTATCGTTATTGTTGATCATTATTATTTTTTCTGTTGTTATCGTTGCGCATTATTGTTATTGATCAACCTCATTTTCAACATTATATGTATATGTG